AGAACGATTTGGAAAGAGCAGAAATGGAAGGTAGGAAGGACAGCACCCAGTAAAAGGGTGATAAATCATGGGCAAAACCAAGTCTCCCTGACTTCCTCCTGTTCTTGAGCACACGCACAACACGATATTAACAATGAGAATGAGAAAGGGCCAGAATTTGCCTCCCCACTCTGTCCGTACAAGTCTTCAATTGCATCACTTTTGTAAAATTAGACACAAATGTGCGATGTTCAAACCCACCTAAATTTTAGTAGCTTCATTGCGTTCCAGTGTGCAGAGCCCAGACTCCACCAAGACTTACAAATTCATCCTGTATCATTATTTTCTCTCAATAAAGGGACAACTTTTTTTAATATTAAAAATTTAATGTAATCCTAATATAGAAGCTCTCATTCTGTCCCAAATCATTTACTTCTGCCTCTTTTCAGCAGTTCCACCACTAATGCTGAAGTAAAACAATGTTGAAAATCAAATTACACAGAAATGTGCCTTTAGCAATGTTCTAAGTTGATGCTAAACTTACTCAGTTATACTATTTAAAAGAGCTTATTAAGTTAGAAAGACTAGTTCGCTTTACTTAAGAATGGATTTCTGCATCAGTAAAGCTTCTCCTGTTGTACTGTCAATGAACTTAAACCTTAAAAGGAAAATCCTTTACTATGCTCAATCACAATAGTAATAATTTTATAATTTAATTGTGCTAACATCTGAAGAAATTCCCTTCTCCCCCAAACTAGTTTTTAAGCATTCTGAGAAAAAGCAATTTTAAGCGGCATTTTAAGGTCAAATTACAATTTATGCTTTTAAAAAAATGTCAAAGGAATGCATGGCAATCTATCAGTGACCTTTTGTATTTTTATAAATAAATCCATGAAGTTAGCATGCAATCCAGTTGTGGTCTGCACATGAGGATTCATTTCCTGATCACTCTGTGTCACTGATCATAGCTGATGTTTGGCAAGAGCTATCTAACATATAGAGAAGAGACAGTAAACAATTTTAGTTGTATCACTGTAGTTGTTTGCAAACAATAGACCAATTCAACCGCAACTAGAAAAGAAACATTGTTTCCATTTATTTGGATGAAGCTGAGTTCTGGGTAATCATTGTTCCCAGTGCTAATACTATAAGGTATACAGTTTTTAAACATTACTAAATGACCCTGTGTAAAGTAATACTCCTTCCTGTTAGGACATAAAGTCTACAGATTCTATGTCCAAATCACACACTGGCATAAAAGCAAGCATTTCACGGGATACTAACGAAATTCTTAAGAGTCACATCAGCACTGCCTTGCACACCTCCCCACATGGTAGTTACAAGGCTCAAATACACAATACATGAGGTCATTTTACACTATAAAAAAGTTTTAAAAGAATCTCTGGCGATTTAAGAATTACCATGTTCATCCTAGACTTACAAAATCCCAGATTTGATAGGGCTTAAAGAAAGTTCATAGTGAATAGGAAGGAAATCTTGTTCCATAACTCTTTAATAGTAAGAAAATGAAAACAATACCATGCTATCATGACAAAATGCATTAATAGCTCCCAAAAGTTTCATAGAATGTATTACAGTTCTTTGTGCAATTTCGTGTTCTACAGATCTATTTCATGGTTTCCTTCAGACAGCCCAGTCAAATGAACAGTGCTTAAAGAAAACCAAGCACAGGAACCACACTGCCAAACATCTGACTGAACCATCAAAGACGCAGCACTCCTTTTAACACTTAGAGTAAAGCAGCTTCATGCACTGAATCTCCTGCCTCCTTACTGAAAACGTTTTAAACCTTTAATTCAGAAAGACATCAATAGAAAGTTTTCATATTCTAAATAAAAGATGGCTGTTTTCTAGACAGTAGATTGGTAGGGGGTTTGCATTAAGACACCTAAGAACCAAAGGGTGGGTGGGAGAGGGGGAGAGGGGGAGAGAGCGAGCGAGTAAGCAAGAGCAAGAGAAACTACGTATGTGTGTAAAAACCAAGCCTTTTGGAAGAACATAGCCTGAATCATCTAAATAAGCATGGAAAAACTATTTTAAAAGACATTTACACAAAATCCTTAGTGCATAGTTAATGGAAACACAGAATACCCCCAACAGGTAAGAAAAAATCTGAAATGGTTACATAAAAATAAATTACTATGTTTCAACAAAAACACACAATCACTGTACTACACATTTTAATATTTTCCTTCACACTTAAAATTATACAATTTAGCTTTTGTCTGAATTCAGGATGAAGGTATGAGGCACAGAAAGTTACCCCTACCAACACCTACATTTAAACACAGAACTTTTTTTTCTGATGACGCCATTTCTTTTGAGATCTGACTGAATCGTCAATATACTTACAAAAGACTGAAGAAAAAGGAGGGAGAGAAAGCAATCAGAGGACAGCTGAGAATTAAAGCTTAACACTTCCGGCTGCCAGTCATCTACTTGAGATGGCAGAAATGCAGAGATCTCAAAGCAGAATTCTGCAGGATGCTGCCGCCAATTCCCTTCTTCAAGAGACTCAGCACACACCACCGGGCAGGAGCCCTGCTGGCCACAGCCACAGCTCACACTAGGGTCTCGTATACACCGTTCACTGCACTGCTTTAACAATCTCAACACACAAGTTCCTCAAAGAACACTGAGCTGCAAGAACAGGGCTCACAGTTGGCAACTGTAATAATCTGTAACCCTTTAATCTCCACACACGTGCAAATACTATAGCACAACTTTTGATTATGTAAGCACTTAGCATACTTTTAATTGTACACTCTGAAGCAGCCAAGGGTACATAATAAATTCATTATATTTCCTGAAATTTATATAATTTTTAAACATCTATTAAAGGGGGGTATTAAGTTTTTAAATAAAATCTTCAACCACTGTCCAAACGGATAACAAACAGCACCTTAAAAAAAAAAAAAAAAACTGAAATGGTTCTGTACTGATAAACCTTTTAGTTATCTACCATGCCTACTTTCAAAAGGCCACTTCAACTTACACATACGAAAAAGCCCCTGAATCTCTGGAGAACAAATACAAATAGGTGAACACTTACAGCCATCAATCGATCTCAAGTGCACCACTCTTAAGAAACAGAAAATCCTCCGACTCACCTTGAATAGCCGTTGGAAAACACCGACCGGCCAGGGAAGTTCATAGTCCCCAGGGAAGTCAAGTTGTCATCTCCAGACCCTTGGCAGCGATTCCAATTTTCTGAACCAACAGGAATTGGCGGAATGACATTAAAAAGAGGCTTCTGCTCCTGCTGCTGTGCGTTCATGTCATAGTGGTACATCTGTCCTCCGGAGGTACTCACGCCATGAACAGAAATGGCAGATATTTTATTACCAATTATATTTGCCCCAGAAAAGCTTGCCTGACAGTACACTGGGCCCAGTTTCTCTTGCTTAATTACCCCAGGGGTGCAGAGTTCGATGAAATCTTCTTTCTCGGTTTTCACTTGGGGCAGTGGTACATTGTTGGAGTTTGATAAGATCAGATCTCCATTATCCTTAATTTTAGGTTTCGTGTCCGGTAAAATAAGAGGCTTACAGTCCTCGCTCGAATTCCCTTCCAAAAGGAATGGATCATCTTCTCCCGCCAAAGGAGAAAGCAGACAGTTCTCGTCCATCAACAGGTCTGACCTCCAAGGGCTCTCGCTCCTGTCTTTACTTGGGGATCCAGAAAACTCCAAATCCTGCAAAATGTCAAAGGTGCTTTGGTCTGTGGGGTGCAACTTGGCACTGCCGGCGCTGCCGCCAGTCTGGCCCTTCGGATTCTGCCGTTCGGAGGCCAGGTCAGAGTGAGTTTTTGGAAACCCCTCTGTGGGGGCGGCAGACCCAGCAGCAGGCGCTGTGCTCCTGGGGTTGTCTGCACCACTAGCCGACCTGTTGAGGCTCGCGATGCTTTCTTCCAGAAGCCGGAAGTCCGTTTCCCCAGAGGAAAGGCTGGTTTGGCCCTGCTGCGGGAAAGCCAGGTCACTGCCCATCACTTTGGTTTCTGTCTCGCCCATATACAATCCCATCGAGAGTGACACTGCTCTGGACAGATCCGGCTGCTGGGCATTGCTGGCTGAGCCTTTCGGAAAGTCCACCGCGAGTCTCTGCTGCTTGGAGTCCGGCTGCGCAGCAGGAGCCAGTGAGGGAGAAGATGCAGGCACCCTCACAGGAGCTCCTCCCCTTAGGGTTTTGTACAAGTCCATCACATTCCCGCGCTCCGCCGGCCTGAGCACACTGCTGGGGACCTCCTCTCTACCCGGGGGACTTAATGATTCTTTGGAGTCCATCAGTGAATATTAGCTACAAAAAAAAAAAAAAAAGGGTGGGGTGGGGTGGGGGTTGGGACATGGTAAGCTATAACCTCACATTGTCTCCGCGATCCGATTAGTAACAGCTTGTTAAATGAACCTTTTAGTTAACTCTGGAACAAATTCTTCGTTACCAGCAGAGAAGTTTCTACCCCGCAGAACAGAAAGCCCCGTCCCTGCTCCCACTCAGTGCACCCCATCCCAAAGTGCAGTGCAGTCCACCGCACAGGCAAGGGCAGAATTGAATGGGACGAAGCTGGGCTATTCAGCCTGCCACTCCCTGAACGTGCTGCCTTGCGCATCGCCGACATTCTAACTCACTACAGCTGAGTATTCTGAAGGTTCAGATTGATGTCAAAGTATTTCATTTAAACAGTGTGTTCCCATCAAAATTCCTCTCCTCTCAATCAAGGTGGTTTGCTTTTCTGAGCACCAACACAGCTAACATTTGGTGAACACTAAGCTCGAATTCTCTAGCCCCTAATTTCCCCCAAATTCAACCTCCCCTACCAGCTACTCACAGCTCCAGCCCTTTTCAGTACAATCTACTGGTGAACCAGGCACGTTTTATTAAAAAACAAACAACGCTGACGTGCTCCTTATCGTCTACGGGCTGGCAAAAAGCTCCTATTTTTAAATGCGTATTCCTGACCTGCTACATCTAATAGTGCCCACCTCCACATTTTAAATATATAAAATGAGGTAAGTTGTATACGGGCCAACTAAAACTTAAGATTTAAAAAAAAGCTCAACAAAATGTGTTGTAGCTTCCCACGACACTGTAGTTTATAGTTATCTGGTCCTTATAACTTCCCAACATCTAGATGAAACCTTATCGTTTTTTTTAAAAAAAAATTTTTGCTTAAGACCCTCAGTACGAACCCCGATTTCTTCCCTCAAGAGTCCGCCTTTCCAAACACCGAGAAACAGAAGAGCGCAGAGCTGCAGGATCACGCCGGACCCCAGGAGCGGCAGTCCCCAGGCAGGGGCGCAGCCAGACCGGCGCGCAGTCCGTGCTCGGGACGCCAGGGCTGCCCCGAGCGCTCCGGGGACACGGCGGGCCAATCCCGTGCAACCCAAGAAAACTTTTTCCCCGCACGCGGACGTCAGCGCGGATGCAGAGCTGGGTGGGGGCCCGCACACCTCCCGCGGGCCGCGGCTTCCCCGCCCGCCCGCCTTCCTCGGGCAGCGATCTCCCAACACCGCGCGCCGATCGCAGCCTAATGAATTTCCCCGCCGCTTCCCTGACAGCTGCCTTCCAACCCGAAACCAAAACAATACCTCAGGCGGCGAAACGCCCCCTCCAGCGAGACCCGAACCCCCCGCGCGAAGACCGCAAACAGCCCCGCCACGCTCCGGGGGCCCGCGCGAACCACGCCGAGGGGGCGTCTCTCGCCGGGGGCTGCGGAGCCCCCCGCGCCGAGCCAGCACTTGCCACAAACCGCAGCACCCACCTCGGCCCGGGCGGGGAGGGTCTCTCTTCCCACAGGGGGCCCCCGCGCCGCGGCGCGAGCCGAGCGCGACGCGTCCAGACCTGTTGCGTGCTCCCCGACACGCCCACTCGCTCCGATAACACCAGCCCGGCCGAAGTCTCGGCGGTTGCGGGCGCGCTCGCCCTCGCCCCCGCCCCCGCGCGCTCAGCCCCGCACGCCCGCCACAAACGCTGCGCACCGGGACCGGAGGGGAAACCTGCGGGCGAGGAGAACCCGCGGGCGAGCAGAGCCCAAGCGCGGCTCGGCGCTCACCTCAACAAAAATTTTTTTAAATAAATAAATAAATAAAAAACACACAAAACCGGGGTGTCGAGGCGGCCCCTTTGGGGGGAAAAGCCAACGAGACTGGGGTGCGGGGGAGGAGAAGGGGCACGAAAAAAGGCCGGGATTCCCGCCGGGGAGCCACCGGCTTGTCAACCCTAGGCCGCTCGAGGAGGCTCCCCTCGCTGCCACCGCTCCGGTTCCTCCCCCTCGGCCCGGCCGGGCGACGGCGACGGAGGGAGAGGAAGAGGCCAGCGCTGTCACCCGCGCGCTGCCCTTTCGTCACCGTCGCCTGGCCCTCGCCAGCCCCCACCCCCGCTGCCCGGGCTAATAAAAGTTTGCGGGCGCCCGCGGCGGCCCCCGGACTCGGGCCCGGGTCCGCGGCGGGTGGCACCTCGGGGAGCGAGCGCTCGCGCCGCCCCAGCCCCCACCCCGGCCGCCCGGCCGCCCGCTTCTTACCTCGGGCAGCGGCGCCGCTCTCCCGCCGCCGATCGCAGCTCCCGCCGCAGCCCAGATAAACAACTTAGCGTGTGAAAGCCGGAGGAGCAGGAGCAATTTGTGTGTTTTTTTTTTCTTCTAAAAAATGCAAGTAAACAGCCGCCCCCTTCTCCATAGGGGGAGGGGAGGGGAGAGCCCCTATTTGAGAAAGTCTCCCATTTCCCCTCGCTGACAGGCCGGCTGCCCGCCCCGCTCCGGGCTCCGCGGCTCCGAGCCCCCGCGCGCGCGCGCGCGCGTGCCCCCAGTCCCCGGCGCCCCGCCGCGGCGGCCGCTCCGGCGGCGGCGTCTCGTCGCTCCCACTTAGAAACCGTCCCCGACGGGCGGGCGGTGACTCGGGCTCCAGTCACAGATTCGAGCTCGCAAAATGGAGGAGGAGGAGGAGGAGGAGGAGTGGGAGGAGGAGGGGAGGGAGCGCGGACTCGCGAAGGGCCGCCCGGCCGCGGCGGGCGAGCGGGACCGAGCGGGGGGCGGGCGGAGGCGGCGCCACAGCGCGCACACACTCGCACACACGCGCTCCCACTCCGCCCCCGGCCGCTCCCCGCCCGAGGGGCCGCGCGGCCGCCGCGGGGAACGGTGCAACCTGTTGGCGACGCTCGGCAACTGCAGGGGCGCCCGCAGCTCCCGCCCCCACGCCCCGCCGCCCGGCCCGACGGCGCCTGCACGCCCGCGGCCCCCCGCATGACCCCGCGAGAGCGGCCCGCGCCACCCGGAGCCTTGCGGGCTTCTCGGCGCCCCCACCCAGGAAGAAGTGCAGCGGCGGCGGCGGCGGCCGACCTGATCTCTGCCGGGCGGGCTGAGGGGGGAAACCGAGTTCCTCTAGTTTCTCTTCTCGCTGCCTGCCGCCCGCCCCCGCGCAGCGCCGCGCCTCCGGACCCACTCGTGGAGCTCGTCCCCGTCCCCGGGCGGCCAGCGCCCCTGCGGGTGACAGCGGCGGCCGGGGAGGGCCAGGGCGCGGCCCGCAGCGGGGCCGCGGGGAGCGCCGCTCGCCGCCCCCGGCCGGGGTGGGCAAAGTCTGTCACTTGGAGAGGGGCTCCGAGGCTGCGCGGGAACCGTGCCGCAGCGTCTCGGCCGCGCTCGGGGCCAGGGGGCCGGACACACCCTCCGGGAGGCTGTGGACAGCGGAGGGGAGGGCAGAGGGGCTCAGTGCATACGTACTCTGGGCCCGGGGGTGTCGCGTGGCTGCGGGTGTCCCACCCCCGCATCGTCCGGGCGGCACGGTCTGCAGCCGCCGCGCTCTCGCACCGGGAGAGAAGTTGCAAAGCAGAACCCACCCTCCCCCGCGCCCCGGCCGTCCCCCACCCTCCTCCCGGAGTCTGCGAGGCGGCGGCGGCGGCGGCGGCGGCGGCAGAAGGAGGCGCCGCCTGCCAAGTTCAACCCCCAGCCCTCCCTCCGGGCCTCCCTCCCGGCGCGCTCACACTCGAAGGAAGTTGCACGCCAAATGCAAAACCTCCGGCGAGCTGGGTTTCTCTCTGCACTTTTTAAAAAATCATGATGAAGAAAAAAAAAAAAAGCAGGGAGTGGCAGACCCAAAAAAGCAAGTCGCAACCCAAACAGCAAGTTGTTGGCCGAGGGCGCCCCTCGCCCCATCCCAAACTCCTGACCTCTCCTTCCGCCCCCTCCGGGGCCCACGGCCAAGTTCCCCGCGGAGGCCCCTCCCCCGAATCCTGACATTTGCCGCCCTCTAGCCCGGGCACCGCTCACCCTCTCGCGTTCAGGGAACCTCTGCCCCTCCACATAAAACAAAACACACGCAGCTTTAAAATGTCAGCGTTCAACTCCTTCCAGCTGTTCCCGTTACGCGCCGCTCCCCCCGCCCTCGGGCTGAGGGAAACACGTGGCCCGTCCCCGAGGAGCGGCGAGGAGTGAGGGGCGTGCTTGGGACCAGGGCTGCTGGCGCGGGGTGTCCCCCGCCCCGGCGCAGGCTCCGGCGCACCGGGACCGAAGCCCCCTACCTTGCGCGGCGCACAGTGTGGGTTTTGTGACTCAGAGATGCTGCCGGGCTGCTTTCGGATTTGCAGGGGTAACTTTTGCACCCTCGGGTGACAGCGCTCGCCAGCTGCTGACGAGAGCGGACGCTGCCGCCGCTCCACCTGGTCCTGGCCCCGGCGCTCGGCCGCAGCCGCGCTCGCTCGCCGCGGCCGCGCTCACAGTCTGACGGCGGCAGCCTCTGCTGTGACATCTTGGACGAGCCTGGGAAGCGCGTGCCGGAAGCCGCCCGCCGCCATCTTGGTAAAGGGTGGTGACGCCAGCCGGGCCCCGCGGCCACCATCTTGGCAAAGGTTCTCGGTGGCGCGTAGCCCTGGCCGCCGTTCCTCGGTTCCAGACTGCCGGCGTCGCCCGATGCGGTATCTCATAGGAAAGGGAAGAACCAGGCTTTCAGTTAAGTCCCTTGTCTGGACACGATCTACCGAGACCGCCTCCAGAAGAGTGGGGAGCAGCCATCTTGGCAAAGGAAGAGTCGCTGCACTTTGCGAAGAGCACAGGGAACCCGCTCTGGAGCCAAGGCAGAAGGCTCAGCCCTAACTTTCAGGAAGGGCGCAGAGCCACCCGTTGTTGGCAGGGCCCGCTTTTGGGCCCTGGTTGCACGCCCACCAGGATACTTGGACAGTCTTGAAATCAGAATTTACTCCAAGAGCGCTACTTTGCACACTTGCTACTTTTTCTCAGCCGAGCATTAGAATCAAGTGTTTTTCTTGAATTAAGTCCCCAAATACCCATTTTCATTACAAAAAAGTCAAGATCCAAGCTCACAACAATGTCATACGTAATTAAAGTAAGTTAAGACCTGCAACCCTGGCATCCGATATGGGCGCTGGTTCGAGTACCAGCTGCTCCACTTCCAATCGAGCTCCCTTTTAATGCTCCTAGGAAAGCAGTGGCAGATGGCCCAAGTTGGGCCCCTGTACCCATGTGGGAGACCCAGAAGAAGCCACAGCATTGCTCCCATTTGAGGAGTGAACCAGCAGATGGAAGATCTAGCATTCTTGTTCACCATCTCTCTCTCTCCCTCCCTCCCTCTGTAACTCTGCCTTTCAAAAAAAAAAAAAAACACCACTTTTTAAAAAAACTGATTTAAATAACTCACGCCAGTACGATTATCCTTATAGGCCTGCTTAAAAGATCTGTTATATATACATGGCTCTGTGTGTGTATACAGTAACAGTTATGTAATAGAACATGACTGTTTCACAGTTCAATCTCTGCTGTAAGAATCCATCTCATTTCTTATCTATGTCCAAATTCTAAATGCTAGGTACTCTTTGCTTGTAAATAATAAGTGATGTTACAAGACTGCCCAGTGTTTCTCCCTGTTTCTTTCTGCGGGTGCTGCAGGTACTGAGGCATACTCACCTAATTTCAAGTTTAAAAGTTGCCATGAAAACACTTTTAATTGAGCAGAAACAAAGTTTTCTGAGTCATTTAAATGTCAGTTATTTCTTTGGTTGGAAAAGATTCTCATTTCTTGTTCACATTCCTTTGTAAAGCATAAACTATCGATTAACTCATACCTGCTCTTCAGAGGAATAAGAGTCTTCTGATCTGTGGCTAACATTTGTTGATCCCCACTTCTGTTCTGCTGGCTACTGTTGCTGGCAACAGTTGATGAGATGGATATTACTATTGATTTTTCAATATCAGGAAACTGAGGCTTACAGGGATTGATGCTTGTCCTGAGGACTGAGGCTGGAATTAGTATTAAAGACGTTTTCCTCAAGGATCTAATAACTTCCAGAGTAGTCTATCAACCCTTTCGATTTACAATAATGAGTGTAAAATTTAAGGAAGAAATCCAATGTTTTGGAAAAGAAGAGATCAAGCATTATAAGAACACGTTTCTAGCAAGAGTTAACATTCATTGAGCATCTACTGTCTGCCAAGCAGGGCTAAACATGTTCTGTGCACCGTATCTCAAATCTTTAACTATGACATTTACTGATCTACAACTCTGGGAGGTTATCATGATTGCGAGATAAGAGTGAGGCTAAATCCCTATCTGAGAAGTGTATCCTATTGCCCCCAGGAGCATAGGTGGGACTGAAGATGATGAATTCAAACTCTGTGGAGGCAAAAGCTTTCCCTGTCTTGCTCATAGCTTTCTGTTCTACTCCTGAAACAGACACCTTACATAGTAGGCACTTGGCAAATATTTAACAATGTTAGAATAACAACATTGACTCAAATAGCTACACAGTATCAGTTTTCCCAGGTTGTTGCCATTACCAAATGAGGTAATAAAAAGTTTGAAAATATTTGTGAAGATCTTTTGTTTTTATTGTGATGGTTTTAAACACCTTGTGCTTCCCTCAAAAAAAAAAAAAAAAGTTAAACCCTTTGTGTATTCATAGTGTCTTGCATATTTTTGCTTTCACAGCACATTTCAATGATAGTCCATTATTTTTGTGTTCATTTGCTTAAGTTCTGTCTGCCTCACTAGAACACAAGTTCCATGAATGCAGGGCGTATGTATGTCTGTTCAGTGCCTGACTAGTACATGATGTGGGCTCCATTGGTGTCTATTGAATGCATGAATAAATGCATGAATATGGTCTTAGATACTTTCCCAAGGCCAAGAAAACCTTGAGCCTGAATAGTAAACAAACTATCTTTGACATTTACACAAGTGATGCACAAGGGTACTTCAAAAAGTTCCTAGAAAATGCATATTACAAAAAACTATGCATAGATCTCAAATATGTTTGCATGCAAATAAATGTACCTTGAAATTCCATTTTCTGTGAACTTTCTGAGGTATACTTGTGTCATCCAAGTGAGATCTCCCACTCTCTTCATCTCCTTTTGTCATCTCCTTTCCCATTAAAATGGTCCTAAGCCACACTGCCAGACTAGCTCTCCACAAGATGCTGCTTAAGTCCATATAGTAACTCCTATCCCAGTGGCATCCAGATCCCAATTTCCAGCCTGATGTTGAAGTCAGTCTTTCACTTGCCCCTTTCTAGAAGATGAAGCCTGCTAGCTGATGTGATTGGACTAGTATTTAAGTGATTTAAAGCAAGGGGAATTTTTTTTTTAACTTAACTTGCAAACGTCAGATTTTATGAAACCTAAAACCTATAATTGAATGCTTATTTGCTAATCTTTTAAAGAAGTTCTAAAGCTTCTAGAAACCCACTGACTGGAGTTCCATGTCCTCTTTCACGTGCAGGCTAAACTTACAGAGCATGGATACGGCATGGCCAGGCAATTGGGGCCGAACCCAGTCTCCACTGCTCTGAGGAAGGTAACCTTGGGCAAGCGCCCTCTCTCTGTGCCTCAGTCTTCACCATCTGCATGATGGAAGTGATAAGAGTATAACTTGTTATTACAAAGACTAAACATTTTTGAAATATATGAAGTAGACTGATTCCTGAGACATCTAAAGTGTTCCATCATCATGAGCGATTATTATTCATCTCTAGTATTGCTATTTTCCCTAGTGTGTTTTTTTAAATGGAGCAAGAAATTAAAGGCACTTACAAAATAATGAGTGCAGATTTCCAAATTTTTATGATTCCTCCTTCCTGCCCCCACCCCAATCTTATAAAATTGTTTGACATCCTCTTACTTGATTGCCATTGTTTGCATGGGTTCTTTTACTTAGATTTTAGAGAACAACAATGATTTCTTTTTATACTCACTTCATCCTTTTACTTCATAGTTAATTAAGTCATGACCACCACAAGCACAAATGGCATCAACATGTTTAGGGGAAGAAAAGCATGAGGAACTGTTAGTAGCTCAGCTGGGGGAAGCAGACATGTGGGGAGCACAGGAAGCGCCTTTGGCACCAGTATTCTGTGTGCTCTGGAAGTCAGTCTGTGTTTTCCAGAGAGAGTGCAGAATCGGGCTCAGCTGAGGTAAACATGTAGACAAGTGTCCGTTAAGGAGAGGGCACAGTATGCACATTCCTCCCCACCACTGCTGGTGTTCGACAGGCAGATTTTGTCTTCCAGAAGGATATATCTTTGTGACCTAATTTCTTGTAGCCCATGATTCTTTGCCCATTTTAAATCCATGATTTTAAACATAAATTGGAATCAAATAAATTTGAGGTGTATGCCTTAATTTTGAATATGCTAATCTTATATTGAGCCAACACAAACAGCTGTTGCTTTTTGTCTGAACCTGCTTAAGGTTCTGTAGCTATCAGAAAAGATGGCTGTACAGTAATATCTCCACTTGGAGAAGCACTTCTATTCTCTCAGAGTGCCATGCACGGTATGGGCCTCTGCTTCTGATCAGCTGCCTGCTCATGCATCCCAGGAGGCACAGAAGGATGGATCAATTGCTTGGGCCCCTGGTCCCTGTTGCCCACGTGGCATAGCCAGATGGAAGTGCACTTCCGCCTGGCCCAGCCCTGGCTGTTGTGAGCATTTGGAGAGTGAATCAGCAGATGGAAGTGTTTGTTTCTCTCTCTCTTTCTCTCTCCCCTTCACTGCCTTTCAAGTAGATGAAAATAAATTAAAAATAAATAATTCACACTA